CAGAAGTCAATAAAAAGTTTATTGTGGAAATGAAACAAAAGTATGAGAGAAATTGTGTGAAGTATTCACTATAAAGTAAGAAATTTGTAAATGAATAGTTGTTACTTGAAGAACAATTTTAGAATAATGAAGGTTGGGAGATTAATATCTATAAATAGTTATTGCGTGTTGACAACTGCCCTCCATTTTTTAAAATTCCATTTCTAAGCTGCGAATAAAAAATGCTTATCCAATATATTATTCCTTATATCAAAACAAACCTTTTTTTTCTGTATATCTTGTAATTGACACGACAAGCATCATGCTCTCTCATTTCACACACAACACAGCGCTGTAATATTGCAACTTGTCAGTGTAGATTTTGTTTTATTCAACCTAAAAAAAGTTATATCATCTTCAATTTATAACTTAAAAAAAATATAAAAGGAAAACATTATAAAGATACCTTTTTTTTATCATTAAAAGGTCTTCATAACTATTAAAAAAAATTATCATTTGATTATGATAAAGAAATATGATATCTTAATTTTTTTTAAATATTAAACGACTTTAATTAAATCAGTACAATATTTTTTATTAAATTGATGTAATTATAAATTAAAGTTAAAGTAATTCTCAAATTGATATATGCAATTTTAGTGATCTATTTCTATACCAACACTCTTTATGTTTTTGAGTTTTTTTTTTTTAAAAAAGAATATTTGTATAATATAACATTTGCCTGAAAAAGAAAACCATTTTAATATCTTTTAAGTCACCGTATTTGAATGAGATAATTAAACTGAAAAAGCACGAAAGAAAAGTTAAAGAAAGTTGAAAAAGCCTTCTGAGCCATTAGAAAGGTGACGATGATTGTAAATTTATAGAAGAGGCGCTGAAAACTAGAAGTTTCAAAAGTAAACAGTACTAAGAAAAGCATCTTACAACCATGCATGTCCATGTTCTCTTCTTCCTTCAATTCTTTTATATAGCTGGATCTGTTTCTCCAACAATTGGGCAGTGCTAACTTTTACTTTCGGTCACATTTATCCAAAGGCCATATAGTTATGATTAATTAAAAACTTAATCACTTTGCTCCAAAATGACTAATTAATATAAGTCTTTGGACTAAAGTGATTAATTAATTAGTTGTGTAACTATGTAATTTTTAGTTTTTTTTTTCTAATTGTCTACGCATGCCATACCTATACAATAGTATCAGGATGTGTTTATAGCTTTCAATAACCTTTTCTCTTTATAACAAAAAAAAAAGTTTAACCAATGGTTTTTCTTGATGTTTGAACAATTCTTAAAGCAGTATCTCATTCGACATGTAGATACAAACATAATAATCAATCATATGAGAAGAAAAAAACATTCATGATGTTCTTTTAGAATAGGCTGAAGCACATGTTTCATCTTGATTATGTTGTCTTTAACCATGTGTTTGAGCTTACTAAATAAACTTTTTGATCGTTATTACAGAGACATGGAAGCTTAAAGCTTTATATACCGAAGCTATCAAATCAAAAACACACACACACACACACATATATATATATATATATATTAAGGTGAAAAAATTATTTTCATATAATATGCCTCACGTGAGACCTTGAAAAAGGTTAGATCATCACGTGCTTGCAACCAAAGTTACCATTTATAAATTTAAAGTTCAAAGCAGTATTCATTATAATCGTTTTAATTGTATCCTTAAAAGTAAAAAGTAAAAAGAAAAAATTAGCATAAAAAATCAATGAAAAAACAAATAATAACTTTAATAAAGCAGTTTTATTTTTCAAAATAATTAATGTCACAACCTTAACCGACATTTAAAAGATTAACAAAAGTAGCTTAGGAAGATGTAGGAAGTTAAACAATGTTATTTTCAAATTTAAAGATATTTTTGTTTTACAAAATATTATTAGTTTTTTATGAAGTCACTGTTAAAAGGGAATAAACTCTTAATAAGGATTCAAACTTAAAGATAGTTTACGGATTAAACGCATTTTAACTTTATAATTATATTTTAATGAGTGAGGTTCACACTCTCTCCTATACAAGTAAGTAGACCAAATTTAAATTTAATTTATGAAAAAATTTACTTATTCACTATACTCATTTAATAAATGAGTCTAGCAGAAAAATTAACTTTAATTTATTAAAAAAGTTGAAATTAACTCACTAGTAAAAAAAAAGATTTTAACTCGTGCATTCCACATCGGTTTAGTTGTGACCGAAGCAAAAAATGGTGTGGTGGCATTTTTGTAATTATCCCAAATGTATATGTCTCGGTTCAAAAAGAGCTGATGCCTAAAACTAGCGTGGTGACATTTTTGTAATTATCGCAAAGGTATATTACCTCGGTTGTTTAAAGAACCGAAGTATAAAATAGCTGAAATTTTTTTTTTTTAATTTTTTGAGAGGGTTTAGGCATCGATTCTTTATAAAACCGAGGTCGTAGTAGACTCTTATTACCTCGGTTAAAAAAATAACTGAGGTCATAACATGTGTTTAGGGTTAAATTTCGCAAACAGAGACATTTTCAAACAGAAGCTGTGTCGCTCCTCTCTGTTCTCCCATTTTCTTTCACGTTGGCGAGGGGGAGGCTTCCTTCCTCTTCTCTGTTCCAATGGAGGCGCGACAGATGGATCATCAATGGCGCAACAGAGGCGCGACAATGACATGGCGGGGGCGTGCGAAGACACGATGGGGGCGCAAGGGCACGGTGGCCGTTCTTGTTCTTGTTCTTCTCACTGTTCTGATTCGCAATGAAGGAGGAAGATTCCTTCCCTCCCTTTTTTCTGATTTCGATTGGGTTTTTTATGTTTGATTGATTCTCTGCAAGAATGATGGTGTTTGATCGATTCTCTACAGGTGGTGGTGGGAGTGCACCGTCCTCGTTCTTTATTCTTCACAATTGGGAATCTTTGATTATGGTGGTGTGAGATGGAGCGGTGGACATTGATGGATTGCAGTCAAGGGCCAACAATTGACCTAGCGAATAATGAAAACAAAAAAAAACACAAAAAAAGAAGAAAAAAACCCTTTACTGCCTCGATTGGATTTGAATCGAGGCAAAAAAACACACATTTTTGCCTCGTTTCAGAATCGAGACAAAAAATCTGTTTTTTTTGTCTCGCCTGTATATGCCTCGGTTGCGGAATCGCTGCTTATAAACGAAAATAACTGCTGTCATTTTCCTTTACTATGACTCATTCAGTACCTATAATTTATGTTTTACCACAAATTCATAAAATTATTTTGAAACTTTTATTTCTTTAGCATAACTAAAAATGAATAGAAATGCTCAAATTTGCTTTTTTTGCATGAGGTGTCTAGTGAGAATTGAAAATTTGAACCATATACGGATGATTACTATTATATATATAAATTTATTTATTTATGTTAAATTTAGTATTCCAATATTTCAGTACATTATCACTAATTAAGTGTTGTTACACTTTCTTCAAAAGGTGTTGACGAAGGATTGTCAATAATAATCTCATCCTTGATTTTGGACATTTCGTTTAGGTGTATCCAATTACATTGCTATATATCAGTAAAACTTTCTCAACTTCTTCATTGCTCTTTCAACTTTCGTGAAGAGACACGAATAAAGGTTAATCTATCATTTTTTTTCTCTCCTAGTTTTTATTTGTCTTCTCTCTATTGCACGAATATTCCTCTTCTCTTAGATTATACCATAATCTCAATACATAAAATGCTAGATTGTACCATTTTATACTTCACATTAATGGCAACATCAATTCTTTGAATATATATTTTTTCAGTTAAATACAAATATTTATCTCTTTATTAACAAAAAATGGTTTTTGATTTATATACTTTTATAAATGATTAAGTAGCCCTTAAACTTAAAAATATATGAGAATTTAGTTTTTTAATTAACTTCGGGAAGATAACAAGTCATTACAGAAAATATTAAAATTATATATTTTAAAAAGTTAGACAACTAAATTTATCAGTTTGAAAGTACAACGATAAGATGAAAATTTTGAAAAAGAAAAAGAATAGAATCCAAAACAAACTTTTGTTCTTCTTGTTTTTCAAGTGATAAAATGAAGTGGTCCGAAAATTATTAGGTAAGATATCAATAGTGTACTCACCTGTACAGAAGAAATATTGTTGCAAGAGTAAATCGTAACATGTTGTGTCTTCTCAAATGTCAACTATAGTTTCCAATAGTTAGGCATTTCCATAATAATATCACTTATTAAGTACTATTTTAGTGGCTTTTAGAGAAATGAATCCACTCCACTAGATTTTGCGATTTTTATGAGTAAGTAAGTAAGACAAACTGTAAACAAGTATTCTTTAAATACATGTGGCTATAAGGTCGTATACCAGAACTTGTCTGGGTGGTGTAGTTGGTTATCACGCTAGTCTCACACACTAGAGGTCCCCGGTTCGAACCCGGGCTCAGACATAATTTTGTGTTTTTATTACTTTTATAGGTGCTTTCATGCTAGTTCACAATTTTGGAACCTAAGAGTACACGTAATCAACTTTTATATTTCATTAAATTTTATTATATGTAAATTTTTTATTAGATTTTAAAATATGGTCATATGTAATTTTTTTATTGAATTTTGAAATCTTATTATGTTTAACTTTTTTTATTGGATTTTGAAATATTATTTATAGATTTTTATGTTTATCAAATTTTGAAATATAGTTAAGTGTCAAATTTTTTAGTATTAGATTATGAAATTCAGTTTTTGTGAGTGTTCATCAAATTTAGAAATTTAGTACGCTTAGTTGTATATCTGATTCTAAAATTCAACAACTACAGCTCTAAAAAAAATTATCTAGAATTACATCTCCCATATTTTTTATCCAGTTAGTTCTCTCATATTATTATCTAATTTGTTATTGTGAAGAGGGTAAAATGGAAAAAAAGGAAAAGTTTGGAGGTGCGGGATGGATGCATAAAGAAGAGCCCTTTTTTATATGTTCAGTACTACTGGGCTGATGACGTTTTTGGGGCCCAAAATTGTAGTTTTCTTTGGGCGAAGTAATGAATTGACCAAAAGCATTCCAGTGATGTAAGTAACATAATCAGAGGTTCAGCAATCTAGGGATTTCCCGTTAACTCGGAAGCATTCCCAGTTCGTAATGTCTCTCTGACTCGTACTTTTCAGCTTACGTTCGATGGAGGGCGAATCTTACACCATAAGCAACACCAGCCATTTGCTCGGTTCTGTTCCCGTGAGTCTCCGCTCACTCTTTTCTTTTTTTTTTTTAATTTCTTACTAAGCTGGGAACAAAACTATAATTACTTGCTTGCTTATTTTTTACCTGTGGTTCAGATTATAAGGCAAGTATTCAGGAAATTCTTAAACGATGCTGATAACTTAATAGGCATTAGAATTCTCCGAATTACGTTTGAATGAAATTTGAGTTTGGATAACTTGAACAAAGTCTCTGTTCAGGTTTGCATGTACTACATGTTAAAAAAAAATCTTGATACAGGCAACAGTTTTGGAATAGAGATTATTCAGATCGATTACCCAAACACGCAGTGTCTCTTAACTAATTTATTTGAGAAAAAGGAAAAACCTATTGAGTTTCTGGGATCATGATATACACACTGTAAATGGTGCTAACGAGAAGATGAAGAAGGTAAAGGATTAAACCAGATCAAGATACATGCATAAACAGAAAACGTGTAAGCAAGAGAAACAAACATGCACAAGATGACTGAGAAATGAAGAATTGTATAGATGACACGTGACTAAACAGGAAAAAACAGGAAAAAACCGTAAAAACTAAACAGAAGCTAAGAGAAGAGAAGATGTAAGGCGCGAACTGAAACACGTGGACACTCAACACCCCCCCACAAGCTCATGAGTATATTTATCCATTAATCCGAGCTTGGAAATAGCAGCTTTGAAGGCTCTTCAAGAGGATTAGTAAACATATAGCAGCTTGATGAACAGAGGATTAAAATATAGTAAACATATTGCAGTTATGGGATTGTATAATCCTTTGTACAGAAACTAGATTAAAATCAAAATCAGGTATGTACAATACATTATACAAAGGAAATTACTCAAGTAATTGCATGGTTCCATCATAATGGTCAATAACATATGATCCTTTGGGCATCTTAATTCTTATAGGTTTAATTTTACGGAAAGATATGAAATTAGGCATACAGAAAGGAAAATGATCAGTTGCTACTGTATCTACGATCCAAGAGTTATTATTTTTCTTACCTTTAACAGTGTTCTCAGCAGAAGAATCACCAATGAAGTTATTCACCTTAGGTTCTGTATCAATTTTGGTTTCTTCAATGATTTTCATAATCTGATATACCTGTTCATGTGTAAATTGATTACTCTCTTGACTGGCCTTTAAAAAATAGAAAAAACCATAAAAACTAAACAGAAGCTAAGAGAAGAGAAGAGAAGATGTAAGGCCCGAACTGAAACACGTTGACACTCAACAAAATCTCATGTGGCAATAATACTAGTATTTTTGTTTGATAGTTAATAGAAAATCTATGATATTGATTATGGTTCTTGTTTTCTGTATTGCTGTTCAGGCTGTCATAGCCGATGAAAAGAGTAGCACAGCTCATAACGGTATGAATTAGTAGGATTGCCTTTTTTTCCTATGTTGAGATGTGTGATATTCTCTGTTGTTAAAAGTTTCAGTAGACTAAAAAGGTGGTCTGTGACATTTCTTGCAGTCCCTTATGCAAGCATGCAAACATTCCCCCTTACCAATGGGGTTGACAAAGGACATGGATATCAAATTTCTGGAACTCCAACTGGTATGTCATCAAACTTTTAGGTGAAGTATGTATACTTTATACGCGTCACATTTTGGATTTGCACATCTTCAGAATACTTTGGTGATGGATTTATGACTTATTGCAGAGAGTCTTTTTACTTTGTTTAGTTTTAGTTATTTCAGACAATGAGCTATGTGAACCGATTGAGTTAGATCTTTCAAATAATATTTTGTTTATGATTTTAACTAATAATTGAATATTATTTATCATTGTTGCAAATATGATTTGTTTTCTTGAAGCACACATTTGGTTTCAGTTGCATGTTTTGACCGAGAGATGATTCATTCTGCTGGCTGATATTTGATTTTATAGTCTGTGTTAAAAGTGTTGTTGCTATATCATGCTACCATACTATCACATGGTAAAAACAATTTCATGGGCAGCAGTGTCTAGGAAGTCGCATTACGTACTGTAGTTCTAGCCAATATACCGTAGGACAAGAATAGGACAAGAATTCTAAAACTTTCCTATTCCTTAAATCATCTCTAAATGGTTCTATTCTCTCTTTCTCTCAATCTCACCGTCTAAATTCAACAGTCTGATGCAAGAAAAATTGCTGTTGGTTCATTTTAAATTTTATTGTGAATTGATGTTATTCTAATGTCATTCATTGATATTGTTCGTCTTTGTAGAAGCATTTGGGCAACAATCAACAAGCTACTGGCGGAGAATCTTTAGTGTCTCATCCTACACGCAATATTTTAACGTGGACACGGATGCTGTTGTAAACAGATTGATGAGTTCCTTGAATCCAGTTGGCGGAGATTTTTTTAACAAGATAGATGCTAATCCTGATTTGTGAGTTATTCTTTTAATCCCATTTTTCTTTCTTTTCAATAATCAAAATAGAGATACCTATTGTATTAAATGTGGATTTCTGATTCTTGGAGAAAAAGTGAAAAACTATAGTTGACAACTGAACTCTCCCAATAAAATTTGTAGGAGAAAAAAATGGCCTTTTTGCTTCTGCCACCTTTTTTTGTCTCCATTTTGGTGCATTTTTCCTGTGCACCCATTCAAATTGTTCACTTCTTAACCAGAATTTCAGAAAATTAAAGCAATGTGAGCGAAATAGATGGTGCATAACGTGTTTTTTATGCACGCTTAGGGTGCATGGAATGTGTCAAGTAATGACATAAGAACTTTTACCTGATAATTTTTCAGCATCCTAGCTCAAAAGCAGAAGTGCATAACTGTCTAATATTCCTTCTTGCAATTTCCCCCCACCATAATGGAAGCAGTTATTGAAATAATTCTACTCAATTTCATATAGCAATTTTGGGGAAAAATTAATGAAATTTCGGTTCTTCAAATATGTGGGGAGAACATGAAGGCAGATATGGTGGAGCTAGGCAATATTTGCATTCTTTTTTTTTTTCCTTTTTGGGTTAAAATAATTAATTTAGCCTATACAATGGTTCGTATTAATTTTCTAATAATTACTTTTACTTTATTACAGATACGGGCTAATATGGATCTCAACAACATTGGTTTTTGTACTTGCCTTACTTGGAAATATTGCCACATACCTTACGCAGAAACATGTGGATAACACTACTTCTTGGAGCTTTGATGTCAGCTTCGTAAATGCGGCTGCGTGGTGTATCTATGGTTATGTTATAGTGGTCCCGTTGGCATACTACTTTTTCCTTCAGTATATGGGTTCAAATGCTAACCTTATTCGGTTCTGGTGCATGTGGGGGTATTCCCTCACCATTTTCATTATGTCCTCTGTAAGTTTTGATTTTCCAAGTATGGTATATTATTTTATCAATGTTAGTATGCTCATTACAATATTGTGTAGTTTCATTTCGCAACAGTTCATAGAACATGAGATGAGGAATACTAGCAACACACTCTCCAACATATCTAACACTACTCGTGAATTTTTTCAGTTTCTATTGCTTGTTCCGGTTGGAATTCTTCGTTGGATCATAATAATCCTTACANTTTTTTTTTTTCCTTTTTGGGTTAAAATAATTAATTTAGCCTATACAATGGTTCGTATTAATTTTCTAATAATTACTTTTACTTTATTACAGATACGGGCTAATATGGATCTCAACAACATTGGTTTTTGTACTTGCCTTACTTGGAAATATTGCCACATACCTTACGCAGAAACATGTGGATAACACTACTTCTTGGAGCTTTGATGTCAGCTTCGTAAATGCGGCTGCGTGGTGTATCTATGGTTATGTTATAGTGGTCCCGTTGGCATACTACTTTTTCCTTCAGTATATGGGTTCAAATGCTAACCTTATTCGGTTCTGGTGCATGTGGGGGTATTCCCTCACCATTTTCATTATGTCCTCTGTAAGTTTTGATTTTCCAAGTATGGTATATTATTTTATCAATGTTAGTATGCTCATTACAATATTGTGTAGTTTCATTTCGCAACAGTTCATAGAACATGAGATGAGGAATACTAGCAACACACTCTCCAACATATCTAACACTACTCGTGAATTTTTTCAGTTTCTATTGCTTGTTCCGGTTGGAATTCTTCGTTGGATCATAATAATCCTTACAGGCGTTGCTTCAGCTAGCTTTGTTGCCTTGAACCTAAGGTCTTTTATAGACGGAAATGATGTTTCGGTGGCTGTAATTGCTGCATTTTTCTTGCAAATAGCTTTGGCTGTCTTCATCAAGGTCCGTTTCTTTGCATAACTTTAAGCATTGCAGTAATGAAGAATAAAATCCAAATCACTGTCATTGTTACCCACACCACACCGACCCACGCTACTGGCTAACTCTGTTTAAAACGTTGGGTAGAATTATCTGCAACAGATATGGTTTTTGTAATTTTGGTTTATTGATGATTGCAAGGTTACAAGGTTCTGATTTGGTTGTTCTCGACATCTGAGCTCCTTTCATGTTTTTTGTAATTATCGGATTTCAGCTCCTTTCATTTTTTTTTGTAATTACCAGATCTCTCATTTCAACACTTTAGTGGAGCTGAAAATGATATGTCTTACTGTTACATATCTTAATTAGAATCTAGGATGTACAGATTCGTGATATTATGACTAAAGCAATTCAATATGATCTGCAGCTTGTATAAATTTTATAAGCAGTTTAGGTTCAGTTGTCAGGTTTATATGAATAGGATGTGAAAATGAGACTCCAGCTCAAAAGAATCTAGCTGGGGAACTTGGTTCATGATTGATTATATTTTTGTAAATATAACAAATTAATGTGACATTTATATTAATCATGTACTGTAAAAATATTATGTACATTAATCAACTATGTATATTCTTGACAATAACCATGTTATTTTGAAAACTTTCAAATAGCTATCACCTTTAGTTTTTGGGACATGAGTTCTTGTGGTGTTTAGTGTGATATTTACTTTTCTATTAATTTGACTGTGGTGTTTCTTGATTAGGTTTTATAGTGTTTTGGACATGAGGAGTTGGTTTGGTTTATGTAACTTTTGCCTTTGAATTTATAGTTTTGCATTGTATCATCAATAATAGAAAGATAGTGTAAAAGGAAGTTTTTGACAAAAAAATTGGAGAATGAACTGTGAACAAGGAAGAAAGAGAAAAAAAGTTTACCAAATAGGGCAGACTGCATCATAGTAAAATATGCTAGGTTGGTCGGATTCCTTCGTATATGTTTTTTTAATCTGTACCCGTCTGGATTACTCGACTATGATTTTATTTATGTATTTTTTTAGACTTAATGAAATTAAAGTTATTTTTTTAGCGATATTAATTTATTTAAGTTTTAGAAATCTAAATCATTTTATTTATTACTGTGATAGATTCTCTTTTCACGATTTTCTCCGGAAAGTTTTCTATAAGTGGAATATAAATAAAATGATATAAAATAAAGTTTCTTATAGATTGAAATTAATTTATTCAAGTTGAAATAAGAATCTAGAGAAGTTATATTTGTGATTTTTTGTAAATTACCTTTAATATAGGTTACTTTCTTATTTTTTTTAATTCTTGAAAAAGTATTTTGGAAACAATTCTTCAATGGGTGTTGCTCCCTCCACCCCCACACATCTCTTCCTCCACCTTCCCTTTACTATTTTGCCCCTTCCTCCACCTTTCCTTTACTATTTTGCCCCTCAGTAAAATTTTATTTTTAAAATTGTTGTTTTTTAATTTTATTCATTTATAACATATTTCACTGATAACCTACGTAGTTTCTTGTATGAGTAAAATATTTTTCTACAAAGCTTGGTGATCGTGAAAAGAATTATCAAACAATCTTCTTCTTGTTCTCGGTGCAGTACGTGGTGCAGTGCGTTTATGGTGTAGTGTCCTTGTCGTGGTTCCTCTCCAGGTACGTAGTCATAATCCTTCCAATAATCCTAAACCCTAAATCCTTCCCATACTTCCAATAATCCTTTTAATATCCAAGCCTATAATCCTTGCATGAGCCGCAAAACGTAGTAAAATAAAAACGAAACGTAAAAGGAACACTGCCTATGGACGGATGACATCCTTCAACGGATGTCAACATCCGTTTAAGGCAAAACGGATGTCGACATCCGTTTA